CGGCAGGCCGTCCCGGCTTCTGCAGCAGGACCAGCTTCCCGCATTTCCAGCGCTCAGGGTAGCGTCCGGACGCCAGGCTAGCGTCCAACACCTCCCTGAGGTGGTCCGACATGTAGTCGAGGGCTCGGGCCATCACTCGGGCTGGAACCCCATCCGGCCCGGGGCGGTGTTCTTGGATCGAATCCGTAGAACAGCCGCCCCCAACTCCGATTCCCTGACGGGCGGAACATCAACCTCGCTGCCCCCGTCGTCTCCGGCTGATGCAGCCATCGACGGGGGTGTGTGCTCCGCCCGCTGCGGGAAATGCATAATAACCTATCCCGAGTCAATTACAACTATAAATAACTACATAGCTTGCCCTTTATAGCCCTCCAGCACAAAATAGCTGCTTCTGAACTGTTTTCTAAGCTTGTCGCACCAATCTATTCCAGTGCTGCATGACATCCTTCGCTTATAACTGCTCTGCTCGCATCCCGCACCTGCCTGCGTGAGTGCATTGCTGCGAGTGAGTGCTGGTGCGCTGCGGGACGCCGCCGGCCGCGCCGCCCACAGCACATCAAAGCAGGGAGCGTGTCGTGTGCAAGTTTGTTTACATTCTTATCAATAACTTAATCTTTGATTGCGTTTGGTCGCAAGCATGTTGGAGGATAGTTTAAAGGAGTTAAGCGCGAAGCGTAGTTCCATTAAGGGATGCGTGACTAAATTTAAAAATAGTTTAGATGTTTTAGACACATTAGAAAATATTTCTGCAATTGAACTAAGCATAGCTTGCGATGAAACTATCAAGATTTGAGGCGTTGTTCATTGAATTTGATGAGGTGCAAAATCAAATAGAAATTTTAAGCGTTGATAAACTAGAGGCTGAGCTAGCTATACGCGACTCAGTTGAAACAGATTTTTACCATTCCATTGCCTTTGCAAAAACATTATTAGAGAAAGGTAACACTTCAACGCCTTACCATAACTCTTCTTCTCATCAATCGTGCTGTCATAATTCGCATAACGCTAGCAATATACTTGGGTTTCGCCTACCAGAAATAAAAATTCCTACCTTCGAAGGATCTTACCACAAGTGGATCGAATTCAAAGACATTTTTACATCGTTGGTACACCAAAATGAAACTATTGAAAATATACACAAGTTTCACTACTTGATACCTACTCCTACCTACAGTAAGTACCTCGAGTAATTTCTAAACTTGAGATTTCTGACCTAAACTACCATGAAGCATGGAAGATTCTGTGTGAGCGCTATGCCAATAAACGTCAGTTGATCAACAACCATTTAAAGTCGCTTTTCAACATTGACTCAGTTCGTGAAACCGACAAGTCTCTACGGTTTATTATTGACCACATTACAAAGAACTTGCGAGCTCTAAATAGCTTGAGGTTGCCTACCGATAAATGGGATGTGCTCATGTGCTCGCTTTCGCAAACAACCTAAAACTAAAAAGCTTATACCGACTTCATACGTGAGTTTGAGGCTCTCGGTCACCTAAGCAAACTGCCTACCAACCTACATCAAACTCAAAACGCCTACTACTTACCGCACCATCCTGTTGTAAAGGAAACTAGCGAATCTACTAAAACGCGTGTTGTTTTCGAGGCAAATTCCAAGACAACTTTTGGCGTTGCAGTCAACGACCTCCAGATGGTCGGACCGTGTATTCAGGATTCCCTTTTTAATATTCTTGTACGTTTTCGACAACACAAATACATCTTCTGCGCAGATATCGAGAAGATGTTTCGAGCTGTTTATGTGAGAGTGTCTGTCCTATTATCCTTATCAGGACCTTCAGGATTAACGGCTTTTTCCACACCTAAATATACAGTGTAATAAACTTACTTGTTACTTAGTCTTAATAAGATAATAATCATCAACAACAAGCAAAAATAAATTATAGTTCTAAAACTAATAAAATACGCTTTTGTCGAAATAATTTTCTGTAATTTCAAATTTCAAAGTTCAAAAAAACATTTTATCGTAAAAAGGCGTGGGGTTATTTCTAAGGTATTTTATATTAGATTTAATAGTTTTACTTTTACCAATATCTGTCAGTAAAATAATTTTACAACAATTGAGATCTAGCACCCCACGCTATCTTACGATAAAATAAGGTTTCGGCGGCGCTATAAGGTCCAGTACCTCATAGCGCCGCCGAAACCTTATTTTCTAATAATTAAAATAATAAGCTAAAATATTATAACTACTCACCTGGTCATCTTCAATTTTCTGATATTCACATATTCAAGGTTAAGGTTACTTGTGATTACTATATCCCAATGTAAATAAACGCAAGATTTCGGCCACCTCAAATATCTTATCCAAGTGAGTGATAGTTACAGACCTTTAGACACAATTTTAATCTTTTCACTGATTTACAATTGTGAGAACTTGTTATTTTTAATTTAAATTATACACAAATTTTCCACACATACCTCACAATCAAATAACATTTTAAAAAAATCAACGGAATTCAGTAATAAACTGTTAAATGTACACACACTTTCAAATAAAACTATAATTATACTGGCGGAAAGAAAATAGTAACAACAAATAAATCATTTCCTCAAAAAACGAAATAAATTTTCAACAACCGATATTTATACCGATGCCAATGGCTACTCGATGGCATCTCAATAGCGTGTCAGTGGTATGACACTGGCTTGGCGTAATAGCAGAATTGAGGTTTGCGCTGACATTGAAATGCTCGTGCATATGATTGTAACGAAAATGGTAAGCCTCTGATTATGCACGAAACACTAGCGGCATCGAAATGCTTTTACCTTGTCGCTCCAGCCGTGTATGTCTCCTAACTGGTCAATGTTCTTCAACCACGCCGTTACTGTACAATCTTCTCCTTCAGGGTCAAATTCTGGGATGAGCGAGGCTGCGCGGTGGCTCTTAAAATAATTAAGTGAAAAGAATTCTTCGTTGAGTTCGTGTATCGCCTTCCCAACCTCATTTTCTAGCAGGCATTTGAGTATTTTTTTTGCAGGTGGTGGAGGGTAGTCTTCATCTTCACTAGTCTGTTCGTGTTCTGGTTAGCACCATCCAGGCGGGCGGACTCCATGTCCCACGTCTTCGTTAGGGCGAATACGTAATCGAATAGTAATCCCACTTCTGAATGTAACAGGCGGCAATAATAACGAAACTATTTCCCTTATTAATCAATTATTTATTTTAAGATTATAATTATAATTTGTATACGTATATGATTTGACAAGAGTTCCGACTTATTCGAGGATACACAACGCAATGAATCCACCAAATGAGCGGGACAGGAATTTATAATCATGGTTTGACAGTTGGATGTGACGTCGCCGACGATTAATGGCGGGCTTGGCTGACAGTTTCGGCACTAAACTGTCGTGTCGACTAAATGGCGAACCAAGTCTGCAGAGTTAAAGTTGAATGATCTGTCCTAATCAAGGAAGACTCTACACCTCCGTTATGCTGGCGCCTTGGCAGAGTGGAGAAGCTGTTCTATGGACCCAACGGACTACCACGCGATATTAACACTGCGCAGGGCTTAGTGCGCAGAGCCCTTAACCGCATATGTCTGCTACCAACAGCAAGCTCTTGAAAGACTCCTCGACGCCTTCTCGACGTCTTTCAACGCCCGGGAGGATGTTCGGGCCGTTTACGCGACTCGACTAAACAATCATAGATCATCTTTTTTGTCTATGCTCCGACCGACAGACCGACACTATTGACGTTTCCGTTTTCATTATATACTTGACAAGATGGCTAGCGAATACTAATTGTAACTCCTTTATGATAAATACAGCTCTTAAACCGAAGACATTGGTTTACTTTGTTCCTTACCGAACACTTGGTTTCGTTGACATCAATTGTAAACGAAAACTTGTCTTCTAGAGGTAACCATAAAATCCCGAGTGATTTTCTAGTTTCATCTAGTGGTATTGTCAACATTTCGTTATCCTGGGTATCATTCCCTAAGTTGTCTAATAACTTTGAGTTATTTGATGACCATTTTCTCAAATTGAATCCGCCTGCTTGTAACATTCCTTTTGTAGTATTTTCGCGGCAACACTGGTATCCCCTGATAACACGTCATCCACGTAAATATCCCGAAGGGCTACTTGACTAGCTCTCGGAAAATTCTTTTGTTCATGTAACGCCACCTGTTGCAATGTTTTTATTGCTAAATACGGTGCAGAGGCAGTACCGTATGTTACTGCGGTTAATTCGTATTCGTCAATGGGCTGTTTGGGTGATTCTCTCCATAGTATCCTTTGGTACGTCATATCGAAATTATTTAATTTTTTGAACCGATACATCTTCTCTATATCTGCCATGAATACTATTTTTTGTTTACGCCACCGCAGTAGTATAGACGCTAAATCTTGTTGCAATCTGGCTCCCGTAAACATATTGCTATTCAAACTTTTACAGGCGCTTGTTTTACATAATGCATCGAACACTACTCGTTATTTAGTTGTCAATAATGCTTCTTTAATCACTGGTTGCTGTGGTATGTAGTACTTTTCCTGATCGTAGTCTTTTCTGGGAACTTTTCTCATGTGACCCATGTCTAAGTACTACCTGAGGAACATTTTGTAATGTGTTAGTAAGTTTTTATCTTTAGCGGATTTCCGTTCTAACTGCATTAGCCGTGCAATAGCTAATTGAAGAGTATTCCCGTAATCCTGGTTCGGATTCTTTAATGGTGATCTCACAGTGTAAGTTCCATCTAGATTTCTTACGGTAGTTTTTTGTAACCCTTGTAATAATAAACTACTGTATTTTTGAGTGCCTAATATTATGTCTATTGGGCTTCGTTTGTAATATGTCGGATCTACTAGAATAATGTTTTTATGCGGTCCGAATGTAATTGCGGTATGGTTTTTTTTGGTAAATAACCGGTACGTTTCAGCAGTATTATAATCGTTACTGGTAGCTTATATTGACCAGGAAACCGTGGTTGTAGTTGGACATCGATACAGTAATTCGATGTCTTTGGTTTCCCGTCAGCTCAGATCTCTACCTCAGATCCTTGATCACATAACACTCTTAGTAATGGGGGTGTGCCGTCGTTGGTTTTCGCTTGCACTGAGGCCGTAGCCAGTAGCATTGTTGTAGGTGTATTTGTAGTAGTTGTAGAATGGTTGGACATAGTTTGATTGGCCACTTTGCTTGTGGACGGCTTCATTAAGCTGTTATTTTCAGGCACCTTGGAATCTTTCTTTTTGATATTATACTCTATATTATGTAACAGAGAGTGATGGCCTGGCTGACCACAATATTTACATACTTTAAAACTGTGGCACTGTATCGATAATTCCTGCATTAAGCAATTTTTGCACATACGATTTTTTATTGTTTCTATATTACGTTGTTGCGCTGACAATGCTAAAAATTGCGTGCAATTATAAATTAAATGTTCTTGATTGCATAGCCAACATGTAGTATAGTTAAATACTGCTGTTGTTACACGGCGCGGCTTGTTAATTTATTTTCTGAAGTAATTGTTAGATTCCAGACACTTCACTCGTTTCTCCAGGAAGCTCATCATTTCCCTGAACGATTAAAGTTTGTAAGGCCTTCTAATTGAGTCTCGTATTTTTCATCAGTTTCGGAATCCCAAATTCGACCCAATATTTTTTGTAAGGAATGAGTCCCAGGAAGAAATATCTATGTTTTGATTTTTCAACGCTTCAAGATTCTCTTTTACTGTGTCGTACAAGGTTCTCAGGTTAATTGCATAGCCCTTTTTTATTTGTAGAATATTTAGGATATTGTCAATATGTTTCGTAACAATTTGCCTTTCATTTTTGTATCGTTTTATTATTAGTGACCACGCGCTTGCGTAATTAGATTCAAAAACCGTCAGGTGCTTAATCAGCTTTGCGGCGTCTTCACGTAAATGGGTCTTTAGGTATTGCATTTTTTCCGTAGCTGTTAACGATTTATTCTCATGTATTATTGTTAAAAATAAATCGTAAAATGAAATCCAAGAATCATAGTTACAATTAAATGTTGGAATGTTTATTTTCGGAATTTTTACTGTAGAGCCATGTGTGATATATGCCGACTGTATTTTCTCATATAATTCGTCAATTATGATGTCGTACTCTGCTCTTATCATGTGAAACATTTTGTCTTGGAAGTAATAATGCTCGATGGCGCCTTTTTCCTCGAACAAATCGAAATGGGTTTTTTCGATCATTTGACATTGTTTTGTAACGTTTCAAGTAACGTAGTGTAATGCGACATGATTTTGTCTTACCCCAACTGCGTTACTTTTTGAAGGTAATTGACGCGATACATCTGTAACTTTATTCTACCATGACCTTGTGTTTGACGTGGCTCTGCGACTTCCGGTTCGTGCAACTGTTGACGTCCTTTCTTTTCACATTTCTTTAGGTACTCCATAGCTTCGTCTTATGCCACCAAAATAGTCGGTAGTGATATACCGATGATTGCTCAACAGTTCTTGGTTTTCAAGGCGGGTGTGGTTGTTGGAGGCTTCAGTGAATATTTCTGAAACCCCCTCGGACCGTTACCCCAACAGGGTTTGCAGCGGGATGGTGACCCGGACATCCGGACCCCTCCTAGCGCCTGCCCGCAACGGCGCGGGCACCACCTTCGGGAACATTCTCCATTTAGGCGACATCCGGCATAAGGCGGGGGCCGACTGCCATTATCCGCCCGGCACTCGGCCGTCCGCCGATATACTTCGGCGAGCACTTCCGCCTCCAAATCCCACGGGGGAGTACCGGCCAATGCGCACGCTGCCTCCGTGGAAACGGTGCGGTAACCGCGTATGGCTCTAACCGCCAATATTCTCTGAGGGCGCCAGAGGCGTGCCCTATTCTGAGCAGTCAGAGCCGCCGCCCACACCGGTGCACCATACAGTGACATTAACCGGACAACCCCCGTGTACAGCCGTCTCGTTGCGACGCTGGGTCCACCCAAATTTGGTAAAAGTCGCCCAAGCAGTTTGGAGCAAGTGCTTGTCGAAGAGCCACCTTCCGTCGAGGATCAGGCCCAGATATTTCATTTGATCCTGAACCGGTACGAGGACCGAATTGACCACGATTGTGGCGCCGGGGAGTGAATCACGACGGGGCCCATGGTATAATAGGGCTTCCATCTTATCTAGGGTCACCCGTAAGCCCAGCGCCTCAATGCGCCCGACCAGCAGAGAAACTCCCCTTTTTTTTTCCGTGCGGAAATCCCCTCTGATACCACCTATCGGTGGCATGTCGGACTCGAACCGACTAAAACCGCACGCCGTCTCGGGTACTAATAGCCGGGGAACCAGGTATACCTTAGAAAGGAAGTCCCTGGTGCCCCGACATACCTCGGGCCATCTACAATAAGTAGACGACCCCCCCTCGTGTGGGAACCCCATGTTCCCTCTGCTCCCAGGAAGCAAGCGCGCTTCGCAACGCGCTCGCCGCCACCCCGGCCTGCTACTGCTAGGGTGACAGATGGCCTCACCTGTCACCCCCAGGCCTGCGCTTATGGAGGACGGAGGTCGTTCTGCGACCTCCGGCGCCTGAGTCGCCTGCGGTACCTGATCCGTTCTCGGGCCTGGCGGGCTGGGAGAGTTCTAAACCTCTCCCGGTCCTACTCCGCCGTCTCCTTCGCGAACATAACTTGCTCGCAGAAGGAGACGGCAGAGTTCCACGCACACTCGCTCCGCACGATAGCCATAATCAGGCTATTGAGCGAGAGAACTCCCACTCCGATGGCCGCCACGAGGTCTCGCCTCTGCTCAACCCACGCCGGGCACTCTGCTAGCGTGTGGAGAGCCGCGTCCACGGTCTGGCCATCGCAGTGGTGGCACTCAGACGTTGGCTCCTTGCGGATCAGACACAGGTGATCCTCGAAACATCCTTTCTCAGTGATTACCTGCGTCAGTCGGTGTGCCCGAGAGAAACTCCCCTGGTGGCCAGGCGCGCCTCCTCTTTAAAGTTCGCCCCCCGGGCTGTAACCAATGTATCATCGGCGTAACAAATTACACCCAGCCCAGGAGGAAAATCTACTCGAATGGCCCAGTCGTACCCTATGTTCCACAGGAGGGGTCCAAGAACAGACCCCTGTGGAACACCGCACGACATGGGTCGACACCTCAGATCTCGGTCCTCGTACACGACGGTACCTCCTCTAAATAGTATCGACGTACGGAGCTTTTTTTGTGCCGCGCGATAGGGACGACCCCAGGGGTCACGGTCGAGACCCTCCAACATCTCCTTTCAGCTTCGTCTCGTCTCGTCTCCGCGGTGACGCCGCCGACTGCGCGTGTAGGACCTCCGGGCACGTGTACAGACCGCACGGAGGTCCGCCAACTCCTGGGACCATCAGTAGACCTACTGTTTTTTTTTTTCTTTTTTTTGTAACGCCTTTCCCCGATCAAGAATACATCGGGACCTTATTTGATCATTTTTATGTTTATATTGTATTTTATTTCTATAGTTTTCATCACTACTTTTCTAGTAGGGTGGGATTTACTCTACTCCGCGCTTGCGTAGCTTACAATGTCTATGTGCTTATTTTATCTTACAGCTTTACTCAAGTCTACATAACATTTTTACTAAGTTACATATTTCTTGTTTTTGTGTCTACCGCGGCTCGTCGCCCGCAGCGAATTCCACGCACTTCTCGCGCAGATGCGTTCCGCCACAGTGGCTACATCTGTCCACACTCTCGGTGCAAAATTTCCGGCCATGGCCGAAAGCGAGGCACCTCTTACATCTGATGAGCGGAGACTGTTCCTGAACTCTGACCCTTTGCAGGTCCAGGTAGAGGGCACCAGCCTCCGTCATTCTCTGCCATACATTTGGACCCACCTGAAGGATGATATGCATTGTCTTCGGATTTCTTGTTCGTTTCCTAAATTTAATTATTATTTTTGTCTCTTCTTCAGGTAGGCCCGTAAAAATCTCTTTGTTCTGTGTTTTGGTCCTTAAATATACTTATACTTTTTTTTTTTTTTTTTTTTACGTGTGGAAATCCCCTCGGACCGTCACCCCGCCGGGGCTCTCGTTCGGCTGGGCGGTGTGTCGGACTCGAACCGACTAAAACCACACGGTGTGCCCTCTTTGCGCTTCCAGTTTAGGAGGGGTCCAGGTAGCTATATCCTTCTGGACCCCTCCCAGCGCCGGCCCGCTCCTGATGCGGGCTCCGTCTCCAGGACCTCTCTTTTTAGGCGGCGTCCGGCACACGCGGACGCCGCCCCCTCGCGGCTGGCCAACTAATGCGGGTGGAGGGGAGAACCCATCCCGTCCACCCGCCGCCACACTCAGGGCGGCATGAGGCGCAGGTAAGCGCGCCTCCGCCGCCCGGTTCGCCGGCGGCGGATCAGGTCCGAGTGGAGGTCGTCCTCCCGGGCCTTCTCCGCCGCCTCCTTCTGCGAGATTACCTCCTCGCAGAAGGTTGCGACCGCGGTAAAACAGCTGTCGCTACCGGCCATGGAGCGAATTAAGGCCGGTAGCGAGAGATCTGTTCCAATGACTGCAGTGAGGGCCCGGCGCTGCGTCGCCCATGCGGGGCAAACCGCCAGCGTGTGCTGGGCCGAATCCTCACCGCAGTCGCAGTGGTGGCAGGCGGGACTCGATTCCCTCCTAGCGACCGAGTACAGGTACTTTCCGAATCTTAAACTATAAAAATAACACACAAACTAGGTAACCTCCTCCCTTTTTAAAGGTCGGTTAAAAGTTCCCTAGTTAAGGTTTAAAAACGTGCTAACATCAATAGAATTAAAAGTTTGTAGATAGATACATAGATAGAACTCTTTATTTGTACACCATTTTACAAGAAGCATGATAGTTACATGAAAGTGTTAGATATACAATGTACAAAGGGCGGCCTTATTGCTAAGAGCAATCTCTTCCAGGCCACCTAAGGATGGATCAAAATGTTCGGGACAGATAGTAGTAGTTGATGGTAAAATGAGTTTTTCGGGTTAATTACTAACGAATATAAAAGAGATACTCGTAATAACTACATATATATAATATAAGAAATATACACACACACATATATATCATCATCATCATCATCATCATCAACAGCCTTTAATAGTCCACTGCTGGACATAGGCCTCTCCTTAGATAGGAGGTATTGGCCTACTATACCACGCTGGCCAGACGGGTTGGTATAGGTTGAGAGGGTTCTTTCTGCCCGCATCGTCCGGCACCTCTGCGAGGTGGGCCCCGATCTGTCGGACGCCCAATTTGGTTTTCGGGCGGGGCGTTCGACAGTCGACGCTGTGTTGCGCCTGAGGGCCGTGACCGAAGAGGCCGTGAGCTGTGGCGGCGTGCTGTTGGCGGTGTCATTGGA